TGGTTTTTATTTCGTTTCAGAAAAATGAAATGGGGTTTAACGCCCTACTGTTGTCTCAGAAAAAAACGTCAGTTATAATAAGTATATAATATCGTATAGATATATTTTGATGGGTATTTCGCTAAGATGAAACTCATAGCATATTTGTAACATTTATAATTCATACATTAAGTTTGATGAAAAGATTAAAAGGTTCAGACGATTGGGTGAACGGTTCGAATATACCAGATTGTACATTGGATAATTGGATACAACTATTTTATTTGATATCATAATTGAAAGTAGTTAAACCTCTTTCATTGAGATCTTACAAAACGTGTTAAAATTGATTGATCCGATGTGTTATTTTAAGTGTTTCGACTTCATCTGTTATATCTCTACCTTGGTCATATCGGTAGACTTATATTTTCAATGTAGAAGGATGCCCTCTTTATAAAACATTCAACTTAATTAAATCGGCACTTTTGTACCAAAGAGGCCTGGTTGCTTTCAAGCAATCAACTATTTTTAAACATACAAAATAGACAGCAATAAGACGCATGCCCTGACCCCGACTAGTATAATTTATAAATATGCAAGAAGTGCTTCTAGTTTTAACTCCGGCAGTATTTGACTTACAGATGTAAATGAGTTGCCAATGATCTGCCAACATTCATCATTTATCAATGTTTCTTTAACAAGTCGATCCATGTGAGCAGTCACTGTGTCTCCAATCACCAACGATGCTAACTTTAAAGTGCCCTCCAAATCAATCATTGATAAAACTCGATCTTGTTTTATCAAGTGATAAAAAGTAAACCAGGAAAGTTAAGATATCGCATATCGTGGGTACTGTAATATTTTCCTTGATAAATTGTTTATTTTATTGACACACTTGCCCCATATCGTCAACTGTCTGTTTTATTAAAACAATTATTTAAAAAAATGGTTGTTTAGTGGGCTATATTCAGATATGAGAGTGATGGTTGCGACGAGTTTTGTCTTGTGGTGGGCTCGCGTAACCTAACAGCTTTATTAATTTTGATATTTTTGGTTTCCTGTGTTGTATTCATGTACTGTTTGTTCTATGTTTTGTTAATCATTTGATCTATATTATGATATAATAAATCGTTGTTTAGGGTCATTAAGGCATTGTCAAAAAGGGTTGTGGCCTTTTCAAATTGAGAATCAGTTCAGTATCGTGAACTTTCATGAATAGTCTGGTCATACGTCAACTGTGTCCTTTTGATCCCAAAAGTTAAAATCGTACAATCATGTTTTAAAAGGACTGAATTGCAATGACAAGTTATATATGTTTTGACATGATACTATATAGAATCGACCGTTGACCCCTTTTAATGGTAGCTCTGACAATTTCAAGAGTCGTAGTACTCGATCACTGTAATCAAGTCTACTTAACCGTATTAACGGGATTATTGGTACCGCGGAGAACCGTCCTTCACGCCATGGTTAAACTACCAAGAAAAACAGACAATCACATAGATGTTCGTGCTACATCTACAACACAAACAATGAATCAAGGCAAATTAATATGCGTCGAAATCTCTGTGAAAGTTTTGACATGTAAATTGCTCCATACAAGGTTCTTATCGTTTTCTTATAGTGGTAATATCAATCAGATTGGACATTACCATTATAGGAAATTACTTTGCTTACAGTGACAACACGAAAGCTTTAGAAAATTGTTTTCTAGCAATCAATATGGAAACTAGGTAAACGGGATCCACGCCATGAAATCCATGTCTTTGATCATTTGGATTTGTGGTCGCTGTTTGAAGAAATCTGACTTTAATTGCTAAGACATAAATCATTTTTCTTATGAGATAAAAAAAACAAACACTTTGTCAAAAAGATTTTAAATTACAGAGGAAGTGCGCCAGCATCTAACCTACTGTTAAATTTTTTTAGCATCAAACAGCGAAGTAACGTGACCTCGTTCCATCAATATGACAAATCTAATTGCATATAAAAGAGAAATATTGCTACATTATTAAATTGGATACCATGCATCATGTTTCTCTCAAAATATAAAGAGGGATTCCCACATTGATGACATCCTCAGATTGTTAAAAACATTTGTTTAAAATTTAATAGATTTATAGAAGCAACCGTTTCAGGCATTTTCATTTTATAAATTGTCTTCAAATTTTGGGCCATCCACCGATTAATTTTCATTCGATGGAATGGCTTCAAAGACATTTTACTCTTTCAAGATTGAAGTAGGGCATTTACAGATAAATACCATCATTTTGTACCTCTTTCGCTAATGTAAATCCCAAGGTTTTGTTTTTTCTTAGCACGTTGGCTTTGAAATTCAATAGTACACGATTTTCCGCTGTAGATCGCAATAGTACACGAGGAATTATTAGCTACCAGAGCATCTAATAACAGTGATGGCACGTAGGTAGTGTACACGTCCCATACTAAACTTGGACTGTCTGTCTACAGTTAGCTTCGCTAGAGAATAGACACTAAGGTCGTAGTTGACCAAAATTTGAAGACCTAAATCGACGATTTAAGTCAAAAGAAAATCAGTATACTTCTAGAATTTTGAGAAGTATTTCTTCTGTTTCCATTTAATGGAATTGAATATGTTTATTTAGCCTCTGTGTCTATACCAGATGTGAAACGGAGTAGAACCGCATTACAAAACAATATACTAATTTTTGGATATGGCGGCCCTTCAGGACAGAGATTTATTCTCTAAGTATGGAGTAGATGGATCTCCGTGTGTAGAAGTATGACGTAGATGGATCTCCGTGTGTAGAATGGTATACAACCCATCCATTAGTTACAAGGACACGACCTCGTTGATTTTGGTTTGGATTTCTTTACACCAACCCTATATCAACTTAATCTATCGAATAAAATTTTAATCGTGATAGTATCTGATTCATCGCTTATCGAAATAATACATGAATACAACCAGATTCAATACTTTATTTCATCTACATCAATGAGATCCTTTTCCTTTAAAACATTAATGTAGGATAATGTTGGTGTTTGTCAGCATACATTTGTGTTTTTAAACGCCATACGTCATTTTCACATATATATATATATATTTCAAAAGTAAGAAATACGTGCTTTTCTATTTTAATGACTTTTGTTGTACTTGAGCACATCTGTGTACAAAAAGACCATTGGTTACCACCAAAAATCTAGTACAATATTGTGTTTCTAAGAGAGGAAATCTAGTACAATATTGTGTGTCTAAGAGAGGAAATCAATAGAAACCATTGCAAACTTAGAATAGCCGTAAATTATGTTAAAGTGGGTTAATTTGAATAATTTTTAAACGATCTATATTTAACAATTATCCTAGCATGTTGAGACTTTCACAGAAAACGTCTTTCGTTCCATAAATTACTTCTGGAAGTCCCGTGTTCATCGGGATTTTCCGGTGTCGTTCCACCGTTTCAGAGGGAAAGGGGTAAGGGCTTGGCAAGGTACAACGTATAGCCGTTCGAAAGGTCCGTTTTACACATTATCGTGCACATAAAAGATCCCTTGGTAGTTGGACTTTGATATAAAATTACCCCGTAGCGTCGCTCTCCCGGCAAACCTTTCCTCAAAGCCCATCTTCGTTAGCCCAGTCGGAGCAGCACAATGGGGCGTTAAAATCCCCATTTCATTTGATTACTACATGCCGGGCGTCGTAAAATGCAATAACACCGACGAGTATGTCAACTACAATTATAATTGTAATCATGGAATCATATTGTTTAAAACAGCTACAAATGACCAGACTATTATTACCGATTATTCTAGTAATGTGACCATCAGTCGTATTATAGACTGATTAAGTGGACAAATTAGTGTAAATTGCTCGTGTGGTCATTTCTAACTACTGGATTATGGAGTGGTCGAGGCTTTAATTTAATTGGTAACCCTTGAGCTATAAACTGATATAAATACACTGATGGTCAACTAAACTAAACACGACATAGTGATATGTAATGTCAACAAACTAGAATACAACTGTTAACTACGTTTTAGTTGGACTCAGAAAAATAATTAACGCCCCGAGTAACAAATATATTCTTTTATCCCATGTGCGTTTAATAAGTTTCATTTCGTTGATTGGATCGTTAAATCGGAAATTGTTAAGCTGACTATCAGCGAAATGAAATATCGCGTAACGCCCTACTGTTCTGCACCAACCAGGCTAATGAAGATGCGCATACGCCATGCAAAATGATATGGATGATTTTTTGCTCGGATAGCAGCGTTACAGGCTACTACTAGTCATTCGGTGTCCGACTATCAAGGAACCTTTAATGTCCTGTTTATTGAATGCAGGGGTCCTTGGTTTTTCGTCCCATTCGAACCAAAGATCAATACAAGGCCGTCCCCGTCCTACAACACTTATAAGGAGAAACCAGATTGGAAAATTCAGAGAAACTTTCTCGACCAACAACGCGATCAAATCCGAGACTTCCTGTTCAGAGAGCATGCATCATATTCATTGAGCATCATGCCCTCCCCCCTTCTCTCTGAATATCGCCAATACTTCTCCGGAAACTGCCATCTCAGTCTGTCGTGTAGCTACCAATAACTAATGCTAGTTCAGTATTGGGTATTATCATTTTGATAATTTTCCATATAGGAAGTCCACTACGGACATATTATTATATCGATTTTGCCTTTCGTTTTAAAGACAATTTGTCTTTGATTAACTCTTGGGATTTATTGCGTACTGTATTTCTATTTACTGGCCATCAAAACGCTACGATAATTCTTATTATTTCTTTAATTACATCGTTGGTATCTGATATTAATTTGCATGTTCATTACTTTGTATTGATGTGCAAATTATGACCTTATTATGTTAGCAGGACTACATCTTTAATCGCATGTTTTTCAATCGTTTACGCGAAAAACCAAAGTGTCAATTAACTCGAAAACTTGATTTAAAACCCATTAAGATGTATATCGTATTTTGATAAGAGAGAATCTGTAGGAAGTGCCAGTACATGTCTTTTAATGTCTACTTTCAGGAATCAACAACGCAGTTTATGAACATTCCTAATGGCCGACATTATACATAAACTGTTCGGCCCTAAGCATAGTCATAAACATGGAGATAGCAGTAAAAATGTCGATTCTGAAGGATATACAAAACAACAGCATGAATTCTGTAAGTTCCATTTTATTCTTTATAGATATGTAGATACAGATATTCAGCAGCGGTCAATTCTTTCAGGATAAAAGTATAAAGATTTCTCGGGTTCCAGTCCACAATGTATTTGATGACATGCAAACTATCCATGAATGCTCTCTATCAAGTCCAACATACATTCAGTAGTAACAACACTCGTTTGTCTACAATAAGCATACATGAACGTTCTCAGTTATTTGTATCTACATATGTCTAAATACACTGTTATGTACAAACACCCGAAGACCAAGATCAGTGTGCTATCGGGGCCAATTTTACATTTCCTATAGCATATAACCTCAAAATACATAAGAAAGATTTTAATGTATCATCAATACGGTCATTAAGAACAGCATTTACATTACATAATAATATTTAAAGAAATGATTTAATGTGATTAATTAGAAATTAGAAAAGCATAAAAACAAAATACCATTTCAAGCACAACTTTCTACAATGGCATAAGAATAACATGGTAAATGATCCATGTTTTGTCTTTCTTGTGGTATATTGAACCACGTACTTCTTTGACTTTCAAGGCATCTATGATGGCTCAGCGAATGAGGCACTGACTCACTAACCATGAGATCCCGGATTCGATCCTTGTGGTGCAGGGCGGAGGGTCCGTCAAGGAACAACGTATAAGTGGTTCGAGTGAGACGAAAAAGCGCACTTCCGTGTACACGTTGTTGTGCACGGAACAGAATTGATGAAAGTTGAAATTTGAAGAAGAGTAGGCTGAAACGCCGCTGTCCGGGCTCTGCCTGGCATATATCTGTCTTCATTAGCCCGGTTGGTGCAGAAAAATAGGACGTGTAACCCTATTGTGTAGGATAAATCAATCACAGATACAAGGGAAACTGAAATGTATGTGTGTCATTACAAAAGAACAATCAGATACATGAACCATTTAACTCAGACTATAAAGCATGGTTCAAACGCTTCTTAAAAGAGAATGAGAGAAATGGAGTGTAACGTCCACTCGATACAAATGTTCATTTCGGGACTAACATAGGGAGGAAACCAGAGGAACCGTTGAAATCCAGCGAGGTTAAGCAGGCGATCTATGACAGACTTAATGATCTAAAACGAATCGTTAGACAGCTCGACCACCCACGCTTCTAAAACAAACAATAAACAGCCGTTTTCCAACAATTTTGCTTGACGATAGGCTGGGTTGAAACGATTTTTATTTAACACCAAGTTTTTTTATTTTGTAGTTAGGATTTTCCGTGAGTAATTCTATTAGAAATAATATGATTTGAAACAAAAAATACTTATACACGCAGTTTATACATTTATCGAATTCGACACAGGATCTTAATACTGTCAAAATGCAAATTTGCTTTTCGAAAATAATATGCCAGCTACGCAAATTTTGGAATTAAACGTTAGTGAAGAGCTTTGTAAATGGAGATGATTTGTCTTCGATTCCTGGACCAGTCTCATGTCAATACTCGTACAAATAGAATTAGACAGTCTGGTAAATTTGGTGTTTGCTCACGATTTAATCTTTGGCAAGAAATTACACGGGACATCGACTGGGGTCGACATTACTCTGACTGCCAGAAATCATCATCGATTGTGAACAATTCACCAAAGTCTCTTCTGCTACAAGTTTGATAAATCAATGTTACTTATCGTGCCGATCGATTGCAGATGGATATCTGGGAACCCAAGGCTGGTGGCGGGGATTACTTTATTTGCTGCGGTGTTTCTGGTGAACCGAGGAATGTTTGTGACGTAGTAACTGGAAACGAGAGTAATCGTTACACGTTACTGAACTGAAAACTTAGCGATCGATGGGAGCCATGAACTACTTTCTAATCGACTGTAATTAAAGTCGAATTGAAGGAAACTTGTCTTCATTTACTGAAGCTAACTTCAACAAGTCAACTCTATTTCTATAAACTTGATAGATGGTCGTATTATGGCAGCCACGATCTCCAATCAAAATAACCCCTGTAGTCATAATGGGCCACTATACAAAAAATTGACCACGAAATCTGAGCCAATTTCATCGGTTTTCGCAAATGATATCTTTTAAATGCATAAAGTGATGAAATTCGTGTCGTAAAATGGATTGAAAATTCAATGTTTTGTCATGTAAAAAACTATATGATTGAATCTGAGATGTGTTTTTTTTTCAATTTCTATTTAGACGCGTTCTCTTGTGCAGAATCAATTCGACTAGAGCGCATAGGATTTTCATTCTTCTTTCATAGACAAAGATAAACCTTTCTTGTAATATAGGATCTCGGAGTTACATTTTAATAAAAAAGAAAGATAGCTACAATATTATAGATATTTAAAATAGAATCGCGCCCCGTCTTTGTTTTTATTCACCCCCTCTCTCTATCGTATCGATTTTCCGACGTGGTTTCCCCTTGTCAGTGGTGCAGAATGGGGGGCCTGACAAGGACAGCTGTCTAGTCCTTCGGATGATACGAAAAACCGAGGTCCCGTGTATACATTGGAATGCACGTAAAAGATCCCTTGGCAGTTGGAATTCGATATAAGAGTAGCCGATAGTGCCGCTGCCCGGGCAAAATTTCCCTCATAGCACACTGTATGGCGTATGCCCGTCTTCATTAGCCCAGTATAGGAGCAGATCAGTAGGACGTTAAACCCCATTTCATTTCATTTCATTTCTATCGTAAAGCTGAAACGATTTTAATGTTGTTTAAACATCAGTGATAAATCACAAAGCACTTAAAGATTTTACTGCTGATATTAAGCACTGTGATATTGATTTAAAATGTCCATTAAACCTTGAAGACATGGGATCAATATTTGACCAACTTTAGAATACACAGTAGGATACAGTTCCATCTCGTCATAATGATGATATTGTTTTAAAAAAAACATTATTTAGGTAATGATGTACATAAGTCAAATATGTATTGATAGCGATATGAAATGGTTGTATATCTAGGAAACATTATTCAGTAGTCAAACTGGTATCAATATCTTGTAACAGACCTAGACTTGTGGTCACCAAACGAACTGAAATGATATGAAAGGGGCTTAACGTCCTACTAATCAGTGCCGACCGGGATAATGAAGACAGTAAACGCCTCTATAACAGAACCTCAGACTGGTGGTCACCCAACGAAATGAAATAATATGAAAGGGGTATAACGGCCTACTTTTCAGTGCCGACCGGGATAATGAAGACAGTAAACGCCTCTATAACAGAAACTTAGACTGATGGTCACCCAACGAAATGAAATAATATGAAAGGGGTATAACGGCCTACTTTTCAGTGCCGACCGGGATAATGAAGACGGCATACGCCATGCAGTGACCTATGGGGGCAGTTTTGCTCGGAGAGCGATGCTATGGCCCACTCTTATATCGAATTCTAATGTGTACACGGAGCCTCGGTTTTTCGTACCATCTGATTGACTATTCGTTGCCCATCTTCATTATTCAGGTTGGTTCAGAAACGTAGGACGTTAAACTCTGTTTCATTTTAGTCATAAAAACCGACAAAATGTTAAACATAAATACACATTTTCACGTTGCAATAGAATGGTCGAGTTACTTCCCTTATCGGGAATGTTGTAAACGATCAGGGTTGACAATAAATTAAAGAAAATATGAAATTTTTACACTGGTTTCATCTCAAAGCCATCAGTATACCATATAATAAATTATTCAATATAACTATTATTGTTATATTCTTTTCTATAAAATAAAAACTGTAAAAATGGTGGTTGTAATTCAGCGTGAACAGGCCGCTTTGTCGGTTCTCATAATACAAAAGAAATTTATACTCATTATGTTACGCAAGTACATTGCCAGTAGAAACTGAAATTTGAATTGACCCTTTGACTGGAAACCAGAAAAGGAATCAATATATACATTAACCATATGTATATTTTGGTACATTGTATTTGGAAACTCGGATTAGGAAAAGTTGTCTTGCATTGCTGGACTAAGTCGAATGTAGTGCGAGTTATAAATAGACAATTTTTCCCTTAATTTTTTAATTTGCAATTTCATGGCAGTTTTGGGTAATACTGATGATATTACAGCGGAGGGATAGGGGGTGTAAAGTGTCTTTCTGCAGAGCAATCATTGTGTCGGAAGTGAGATTTTCACCCCAGTCAACTTCAAATCCGTGTAGAAAAAAATCTAAATGGTCAACCTCCTACAAAATTATGATGAGGAGATTGCCAAATGTTGTCCCCATTGTACCTATAAAGATTGGAACCAACGGAATGTTGCGAAAAAAGCTACAGCCTGAGATGTTACAGCCATTTAACATTGAAGTCAATGGGCAAATAATTGCTAGTCTGAGTCCTGCTATAACTTCTTAAATATTAGTTATCTCCCTTCTACTGTAAATTGCATGTCTTCATCCGCACGAGTACCAATGGTCTGTTAGCGATTTTGAAATTGCACAGGTCTGAGCTGGGTCTATGTTTGTCAATAATATTTGGTAACAGAGGAGAGACCTTTGCCAAGGCAGTGACAATTTATGTAAATCCTTTGCTTATTAAGAGGTGGATTTTATCACTGAGATGTACACAGTACAATAATATGCGCTAAATACTGGAAGTTAGTATAAGTAGAAGTTCAGAGTTTCCCAGTCTGAAAATAAAACTGGGCTCTGGCAATACGATAAATAATAACTAAACGACAATTTGTTTAAATTAAACTGTAGTTCCGAAAGAACAATTGCGACACTCAATTTGTAATTATTTGACTACATGTCTTTAATGACATGTTGGGACGAGTTAACTCAGTACGGGACAGGGAAGGAACCGTTATTGATCTGACCAGGGGCGCCGGAACGGCGCAAGGGCCAGGGTACCAAAAGATAGGGGGGTCCCGGGGGGGGGGGGCGTCCCCTGGCCTCTAGAAAATTTTGAAATTTGTCCATTCCGAGAACGCTGTTTAGAGCGGCTCTAGCATAAACCCTTTAAAATATATGATAATGAAAGAGACAAAAGCCTGATTATTCTCAATTT